GAAAACCAGTGTGAGATTATGTCATTCCTTTGCCTAAAACCTCCCAGTGGTTTTCTCCGTCCCTGGGAATAAAAGTTGCTGTCCTTACTGTGGCCTCTAAGGCTGTATAGAATTTTACTCCTTCTGCCATTTTTACTCTTACCCCATTTTAGACTTCTTTCCTCTTCCTGAGTCTACTCCACTTCCATTTCTGCACCCCTCTTCCCAGCATGTGCCCGGTACTCTCCTGCATCAGGGGCTGCCCTTCGTGCTCTTCTTGAAATGCCCTCCTCCTAGCTAGCTGCTCCTGTAGGTCTGTGCTCAAATCCCACTGCATCTGCAGAGGCCCTCCCCGACCACACTGTGTCACATTCCTCCACTTGCGTGTGCTTTCCCTCTCACCTGCACTGTGGCCTTGTGTACGTGCATGTCTGCTATTGCCCCTCATGTGAATTCTGAGGGCAGGGACTTGTGTGCTTTCGCCATGGCTATATCTCCTGTGCTTAGATTAATGTCTTTCCTGTAGTGGTTGCTCACCTCTAAACCTGAGGTGCACAGCCACCAGTCCCTTCTCTGCAGCACAACACCAACCTCCCAGCTGAACTCCTGTCTGCTTTTCTTCAGGGCATTCACCACGCTATGAGATTATCTGTCAAAAGTTTGGATTACATCATCTCATTTTCCTTCTTGAAATCTTTTTGAGAGCTTTGTTTTGAGATGGGGTCTTGCTATGTAGCTCAGGGTGGCCTCGAACTTGCAGCTATTCTCCTGCCTCAGCCTCATGAGTGCTGGGATATGGACGTGTGCCATCACACTCAGCCTAATATTTTTAATTTGTAAGAATAACTATTTTTACTTTTGAAATGAAGTTGCACCATTTAATTAAAGATGATAAAATATTTCTAACTTTTAAAAAATGTAGTCATAGCTTATAAACATAAAAAACACTTTGAGTGTACCACTGATGGGCTCTTGTGGAGTACTGGTCTCTTAAGAATCTACTAAATTCTTTGTATTCGAAGAATAATGCTCATCTACAGGTTATTTTGTATAGTCTTTCAAGATTCATAGGTTTGGTTGGGGGGAATAGCTCTGTGGTCTAAGCACCTGCCTGCTCAGCACAAAGACCTGGGTTTGATCCCTAGTACCAGATGACGCTCTGGCCCTGAAACAGGGTGTGCCATGCTGGCCACCAAATCCAGGAGCTGTGGTGCACATCTGTAACTCCAGTGCCGGGAAGGCTGAGACAGGAGGATCACTACAAGTCTGAGCTGTGTAGTGAGACCCGGTACCAAATAAATAAATATTTTTAAAAAAGGGCTGGCCGGATAGCTCAGCGGACCAAATCACCTGCTTAGGCAGAGCACAGTGGCCAGGGTTCAATTCCCAGCATGCCTTGCTGACCCCTTCTCCTGGGTATGCTAAAATGGTGAATGAGACTGAGAGTGGTGGATTGTGTGCCTGTAATCCCAGCACCTGGGAGGCTAAAAATGGGAGAATCAGTACGAGTCCAATCTATGTAGTGAGACCTTATAGTCCCTATACCAAATACATTAAAAAAAAAAGATTGACAGGTTTCTATTTAAAAACATGTAGACTGCAAGGAAAGGCAACATTTTGGCCCTAGCCTTCCAAGGTCAATTAAGACTCAGGACAAATGAGAACCTGTACTGTAACGTCACGTAACTCAGTAGTGTCCCAAATTTTCTGATCAAGGAGATTATGGGGTCAAAGAGGAAAGTGATCGATGATGTAGAGTGTGCCTAAGGAGAGTCACATGGAGAGAAAACATTCTCTCAGGCTTTCACAGAGAGCACATTGGCCAAGCAATGGCCGTGACTCATCCACATGGCTGACACTGACAAAGGATCTACAATCTGAGGTACAGGATCTCAGGATAAATCCTGAGGGGATTTCACTGACCTTCTGAGACCCAAAAGCTACAACTCTTGTTGCATAGGTCCTGTTTTACCTTGGTCTTAACCATCCAGCAGAAAAGTATAAAAACAAAATATAAGAAGTAAAGCCATGGTATTATGTTGAGCTGTAGGGGACTCAGGTCAACAATTTCTGACATTGCCAGTCAAGCGGAAGACCCAATACTATTATGGGCTACTGGACTCTTTTAGAATATTTTGCTGAGTTTACACACCTATAATATTCAAATAATGGAATTTAACAAAAAAGGGGATACAGACGAATGTCCATTTAGTATCTGTGTATTCAAAGAGGTTAGGATAGATATATAGTTACATTCTCTTAATGAAAAGAGGGATTTGTTCTTAGGGTGTTTGTAAATAAGATATCATGTCCGCATCTTGTACAGCAATTAACCACTAGGAAGAATGTATGCAATGTGTTAATTATTGAAACTGTCCTACCAATTTGATTTGAAACTGTCTCATTGCTATTTGTTTCTCAATAAAATTAGGGAAAAAAAATTTAAAAAACCATGTAGAACAGAAAACAAATGTCACCTTTCTCAGCTCTTTAAGACAAACTTGGTTTTGTTTTTTCTATCCCTTCTCAGCTAGTCCTCAGCTGCAGTTCCTTCTCTTTCATCTTCTGTGTTCTTTCCTAGATCTCTTCTTCCAGCTTTTGTAGTAGGTGAGGATTCAAAGTGTATCTTTTTCCATAAAGCTTTATTCTACCTTTGAATAAACTGTAAAGTATACTTGGGGATAGTTTTATTTATTATTTATATTTTTTGGGTGGAACCGGGGATTGAACTCAGGCCCCTTGAACTTGCCAGGCAAGTATTTATTCTACTGAGCCATCTCCCCGGCCCAGGGATAGTTTTAAAAGGAACATTTTCATGGCTCTTTTGCTACTTGTTGCCATATTTCTATGACCCTGTTCCTCATTTGCCTTACATAACAGTTTACTCTCCTGCTTCTCTACGCACCTTTACAGAATACACTTTTCTGTTTTCTGTTCCACTGCTCGGTCCTCACTCTTTAAATGTTGTTTCTTATTTGTTGCTTAAGTCCTTTTCCTAGTGCATTTCTCAGGTACACCCATACTTTATATTCTTTTATAGAATGAATCATGTTCTATCAAGTCTCTGAGCTCCAAGACAGCTTGGATGAATCCTCAGCAATCAATCCAGCGCACTCTCTTTTGGACTCATTGCACTTGTCATTGTTTAATGTCCAGCTTCCTGAGGCCAGGGGCTGTATCTATCGGACGCTCTGCTGATATCCCCTGTGCGAAACACATTGTTTGAGATTAGTTCCTCAAAAAGTAACTTTAAATATTCACAAATGTAAAAAAAAAACACTTTAACCCAATTTATTCTTACATCTTTCCTTGTATCAACTCCAAACATTTTATTTTTACTTTTGGTGGCCCTGGATATAGAACTCAGAACCTCAAGCATGCTAGCCCAGCCTGGTCTGTTTTTTTTTTTTTTTTTCCACAGCTCAGACTTGTAGTGAGCCTCCCATTTTCAGCCTCCCTATTGCTGGGATTGCAGGCATGTGATACCACACTCAGCTCACACTACCATTGTGCAATACCCCTGGGCCCAAAATATACATTTTTTCTTTTTAGTTTTTTGATACAGGGGCTTACCATGTAGTTTAGGCAGGCCTTGAACTGTAGTCCAGGCTGGCTTTGAATTCATGGTAATCCTGTACCATCAGCATTCTGAAAGCTTGGATTATAGTCATGTACCACCATGCCCAGCCCTAAATTCTTATCAATAAAAAAATTTATTAATTGTTTAGCCTAAGTGTTCTCTGTACTTCATTTTCTATCTCCCCCAAAACCCATCCTATAAGTGCCACATCAGTAATTTAAAAAAGAACAAGTGTGAAAAAGAAAGTGTGACAGTAACTGTGTTCTTTCCAAACCTCTTTTATTATTATTTTTTTTTGATGGTACCAGGGCTCAAACCAAGGATCCTGCACTTGCCAGGCAAGTACTTATTCCACTGAGCTATCTCCCCAGCCCTCTGTCCAAACCTCTGCTGAAGCTCTTCAGCTTTTGAGGCTTTGGTCCCAATCTTTTTGAGACAGGGTCTAGACTTGCCTTCACCAATCTCCCTCCCCTTAGTATATGTTTGCAATACATAATAAATATTCATTATGGGGAACTGGTACATGTACATATCACACAAATCTTTCTTAAACCTTCCTGGTCTTCTTTAGAAAGTGCTTACTATATATGTCAAGCACTAGCTTTGTCACTGAATCTACAAACTACTAGCAAGGTATGATTACATCTTTAGAGGGTCTGTGACAACACTAAAAGTTGTAGACAATAGATTACAAAATCTAGGTTTTTGGCTAGGCATGGTAGCCCATGTCTGTAATCCCAGTGGTCTGGAAGCTTGAAGCAGGAGGACTGGACAATTTATCAACTTAATGAGACCCTGTCTGTATATAAAAAATACAAAAAGGGCTTGGGATGTGTCTCAGTGCAAAGGTCCAGGGTTCAATCTGCAGTACCAACAGAAAAAAGAAAAACAAACCATAATCTGCTAGGTTTTTGCCCTTTGCCAGTTCACAAATTCCATCTAAAAACTGCAGTGTCCAATAGGGTGGCCACTAGCCACATTGAAGCACTCAGTAGTTACCCGAGGTGGCAGATGGGACAGCGCAGAGCATTTCCATCATTGTGGAAGTGGGGTCGTGGTGCTGGCTACCAGTCCCCAACTCAGCACCCCATAACACCTAGGCTGGTATGGATTTTAAAGTAGTACTAGCTCCCAAGACAGATAATGCAACAGAATACTTCAAAAACTATTAAGTGCTACAGAAATGAGATACAAGAAATGGGTTTAATTTTTGCCTTTATCACAGCTTTGGTCACTTCAAGGAAATTCTAGCTCTTTTCTTGCACTTTTCCCATTCCCATAATTTATGACAGAAGGTCCTGAAAAGACGCACAATTGAAGTGTTTATCTCAGGGCTAAAATCCAAATAACACCTACCTTGAAGCTTTTAACCCAGGACTCTACTACCTGCCTTCTCTGTTTCTTTCCCTAAAAAAAAAAAGACATGAATTCATATTTTTCAAAAAAACAACAAAATATTTATTTTGAGACTTCAGAATTATGGAAAACCTAAGTAATGGGAACTGGAGCCTCATCAGGGTCTTCTGGGAAATCGGAAGCACCACCCTCTGCAGCATCTCGATGCTTTCCTAGTTTAGCCATCAATTCTTTCGCTGGATTAAAGACGCCATTGGTCTGCTGGTCACAGACATAGCAGCGCGAGGTGGTGCGGAAATGCTGCAGTGCACAGCTCTCGCAGAAATAATGCCTGCACTTGGTGACAACTGGGTTTTGGAAGGTCTGGCGACAGATGAAGCACTTGAATGGTATTTCCTCATCATCACTTCCTACTTCATAGTTTTCATCCTCATAGACACCATAGCGACCCTCGTCAAGCTCACGTTCGATTTGCCACCCGTGCTTGTAATCTGAACGGTCATGGAGGAATTTGCAGCTGTCTCCGAAGCCGCAGAAGCCAGTTTCCTTGTAGTCTTTACATATGTCAGGCTGGTAATCCCAGCGCACTGTGGCCCGTAGATGCTCAGGTGCTCGGATGGGGCCTTTCCTCACCATCCCGGAAGAAGCGTTGCCCATAGACGTATCCTTGGGTTTCATGTATTTCTGATAATTATTGATTCCCCGATAGATCTTATCATCTTCTTTGCCCCTCAGCTCCTCCTGGATCTTCTGGCTGCGCTCAAAAATGGCTTGTGCGTCCCGTTCCTTCTCTGTGTCCAGCTCATAGACAGCTGTCGCCCCCATATCCTCTGGCCCCACGGGTTTCGCCGAGCGGGTGGACTTGTAGACCACGCCGAGACTCTCGGGCTCCTTCTCCTCTTCCTCCTCGCTGCTCAAATCGCCGTAGGCCGCCCTCTTATTAATGCTGCCTCGAGTCCTCTGTATCATTGGATTGTGGATTGCCCGCTTCTTCTCCGGTCGGACCACAGTGTTGCCTTCGTCACCGCTACTGCCGCTTTCCTCAGGGTCTGGCTCGCACAGTGGTCGCTTTCTGCGGCCAGCAGCTCCTTTCCGCCCAGGCTTTTTGAAGAGGAAGGTGCATACCTGGGCCGCCGACTTTTCCGGAGAAAGCTCCTCGGCCATTTTAGAGTCCCGAGCTCCGAAACTGCTGCAGCGTGGAGAACCGCGCCAGACCTCTTCAAGTCCGCGCGCTCTGCAGCAAGAGCAAGAACTGGTGGAAGAAGCACAAGAGAACGACTGCAAGACCGCGAACGCCAAACACTTTTTGAGCCCTAGCAGACACCGTAGCGTCTTCCGGAGACGTAGGCGGTGCCACGCGGCCGCGGAGCATACCGGGAAGAAAACTGAAGCCGGTCACCTTTGAGAGTACCGGAGGGTTTGGGTCACTGAGCCGAGATGTGGTTCGAGATTCTACCTGGAGTTGCCATCATGGGCGTGTGCTTGGTCATTCCCGGAGTGGCCACTGCATACATCCACCGGTTTACTAACGGGGGCAAGGTGAGGCGGCCTTCTGGTACTGCAAGTCCCGGCATTCTGGAAACGGTGGCGGGTAGGGAGGCCGTTAGGATGCCACTGGCCTTTCCGAGGCTGAAAATAGAACTGCCTTCCTCTTTGTGTTGCCTTGAAGTGGAAGCTGGCGGAGTTCACATTCTGGCTCTAGGTAGAAACAGCTAGGTGTTGGGTGGAGAAGAGTGGGTCCCTGGGCAGGGTAGAAATCGAGAACTGGAGAAGCAGGTTGGAAGATAGGTCCAGATTCCTGGACAGTAGGGAGAGGCATTAGTCGTGGCCCCACACCTTCCCGCCGCCGACTGGTCACCTTGTCTATTTTGGTTTTAGCTTCTTACACTCCTTTCTTTGTAGTTTCTTTTTCCTTACCCTTAAGTAGCGCCCCCCCCCCTTTTGTGTCCCATTTTGTTTTGCAAGCCTTTTAGGAAGTCACATCAGGATTTTCATATTCCCCTCTTCCCAGTCCTTCGCATTTATTTCTAGAGTACAGTCAGAATGTAAATTGATTGGCTTTTTGATTTTGTGTTTGTCCTTTATGTGTGAGCCACTGTGTTGCTTTTTGGGGCTGCAAAGCAACAAGTAGACGTTTCTACTTGGGAAAGAGGGAGAGAGAGAAATACTGATGATGTTAGGAGTCAAGATTCCAGCTAAATTGTAGTGGTCAGACTTTATATAGAAGATTCTGATCATATATACATATTTTTTTCTTTCTGGTCTTATATTGTTAATTTAGCTTTTATTTCAGTAATGATTCCATTTTCTCTAGCATGTCATTTCTTGTAAGTGAAAAGACCCATCTGTATAAGTCGCAATAATATTTGTCTTCTGTTTGAAGGAAAAAAGGGTTGCCCACTTTCCGTATCAGTGGAGTTTGATGGAAAGAGACAGGCGCATCTCTGGAGTTAACCGTTACTATGTGTCACAGGTAAGATGATCCCGACGCTAGCCATCTGCCAGGGATTGGATTTTAGTAATGCCTTGTGGTAGGTCACACAGTACTCGTATAATTTGCATTTTTTGTCTACTAGCAAGTCAAACTGCCTTTTATGTATGCAATCTCCTTTTGTAGTTACTGTGTAAATTCTTTACTTATTCTGTTTGTCATTTTCTTTTGTGTTTATAGTAGTTCCTAATGTATTCTGGATTTTACTTTACTTTACTTTTTTATTTTTGTGGTACTAGGGATCAAACTCAGGACCTTGTGTTTGCCAGGCAAGCACTTATTCCATTGAACTATCTCCCCAGCCCCTGGATTTTAATTTTTAAAAAAGTTTATGTATGACAAATTTTTTCCCATCTGCTTTCTTTTTCACTTTGCTGTTTTTCATCAGATAGTAGGGTTTTTTTTGTTTGTTTCTGAGACAAGGTAGTTTTAAATTTCGATATTTAATTCATCATATTTTACCATTCTGGATTCGGGGTTTTATGTATTCTTTTAGAAGGCATTTTTGAAACCCAGGGTTATGAAGCATTTATTCAAATGTACTATTAATAGCTTTTTTTTAACATTTAGTTATTTGGTATATCTACTGGTCATTTTGGGGTATAGTATGAAAACAGGAAAGGATTTAACTTTACTATTTTTTTGGAAGGTAGCCTATTGTCATAATTATCCATTCACAGAACAGCCCATTTTTATTTGTGATACTAATTTAAGAAACTAAAGTTGCATATATACTTGGGCCTGTTTCTTGAATTTGTTCTTTTGTACTACCTGCTCTGTCATTTGTTGCGCCAGTACCTTATTTAAGGAATTGGTGTAGATTTATATTTGACTGAATCATAAAATTGCTATTTGTAGGTAAAAAATGGACTAGTAACATTTTCATGTGGCTTAATGGAATAGTGTGGTTTTATACCTTGTAGTAGTAGTTCTTCATTAGAATCATTTTAACAACTTGTAGTTACTTTTTAATTGCTCTGTGCTCATTTATTCTTTATAGCAAACACAGATAAATAATATTTTCATTTTATACATAATAAAACAGATGGTCAGGATGATTACTGTAAAGACCCAACCTAGGTGACCTGGCTTTCAGTATACAACTATTTGAGGATCAAATCTAATGAACATGAACATAGATATAGCAGTTCCCCCACTTACCTGATTTCACTTTTTAAGTTTCAGTTAACCATTCTCAACTGTGGTCTGAAAATATTAAATGAGAAACTCCAGAAGAAAATTCTTCAATATTGAATAACTTGTATATTACTATTGTTTTATTTCATTGTTATTGTTAACCTCTTACTGTGTCTAATTTATAATAGAAATATATATAGAAAAAATATAAAAGGCTTGGTACTACTTGTGGTTTCAGGCATCCACTAGGGGTCTGGGACTCTATCTCTGGAGGCAAAGGGGCATACCTGTGTCTCCTTCTCTGGAGCCAGGTTTCTCAAAGTATAGTTCAAGAATAAGCACCAGAATCACCTGGCATGTGAAATAGAATTTGGATTTCTAAGAGGTAGTTCCTAGAAATAAGTAATTTTTTCTCAAGGCAGTTCTTCTTCAAGTAGTAAACAAAATACCTGATGTGTTGATTTTAATATATGGAGAACTGTTATCACTGATTAATCTTTTTCATTTATAGATTCTGAAGTATTTGCATGTGAATTGAATAAGATAAGTAGGCCTTTTGAAAAATAGTGTTGTACTTACAGGGCAAGGGTTTTTGAGTTGGGGTCCAACTCTGCTACTTCCTTATAGACTTAAGCCAGTGATTTGTAACCCGAGCATTTCCTCATCTAAGAAAAGTGGGAATGAGGATGATAGTGTCTACCACATGTTGGCTTTTATTTTGTGAAACAGATTTTATCTTTTTATCCTCTGACTCATGGAGAGTCCTTTAGTAAATAGTTTTTTGATGCGAGTTCTGATTGGGGTGGCAGAAAAGTCTTTCCATGTAAATTATTGTGTTTGCTGCTGCTGCCAGAAAATGAGAAAAAGAAATCATTACAAGTTTTTCTTTTTATGTATTTGGTACAGGGTCTTACTACACAGCTTGAACTTGTAGTGATCCTCCTGTTTTCAGCCTCCCCAGTGCTGGGATTACAGGCCTGCACCACCATGCCCCATCTACAAGTTTTTCTTTAGTGATTATAAAACTCAATCCAGTTCATTTCTGTATTGTTGCAGTTAGAGAAATGTGATAACATTTGCTTTAATGCCAGAGAATACTGTTTGATGACACTGGAAATAAGGTATGTACTACATCTTTGATGGAAACAGAATTCTTACATCCTCTTTCTAAACTGTTTTTCAGGGTTTGGAGAACATTGATTAAGGAAGCATTTTCCTGATTGATGAAAAAATAACTCAGTTACGGTCCTCTAACCCTGCAGGAAGTTTAAGCAATATATTCTGTGATATGCAGTTTCATTTAGTGTGTTATGTAATGCTTAATAAAAACAAAATGAAAAACAGGCATTTGTTTCTTCAAAATATACAAGATCAAGCAGCCTATCCAACATAGCTTTATTACTTAAGAAACCTATAAGGCAACCAAAACTTGTAAAATTATGGATGTAAAATATATTTCCAGGGGCTGGGGAGATGGCTCAGTAGAATAAGCACTTCCCTGGCAAGCGCAAGGGCCTGAGTTCAATCCCCGATTCCGCAAAAAAAAAAAAAAAAAAAAAAAATTTAAAAAAAAAATATATATATTTCCATGCCTACCACTTCAGAAACTGTGTTATAATCATCGTTGTGATGGAAAATGGATGGATCCTGAGACTGTATGTGAAGTGAAATAGACACAGAAGGTGTGTCTTATACACCCAAATTATAGTCTAAATTGTAAACCAAAGGTGTGTACTTCAGCAGCACACAGACTAAATAGTAAACCAAGGGAAAGATAATAGGAAATGCTGGGAGATGGAGAAGGGGAGGTGGGAAGGAGGGGAGAGGGAGAGGGAGAACTAAAAGATGATTAAGATAGTAGTTCCCCAAAATGAATGTAATTATATATCACAAACACATAAAATGAAAAGAAGAAAAAGATTACCTACTGAGTCATCTCCCCGGCCCCTTTAAATTTTAAAAAACAAAATAAAATTTCAAAACAAGATAATAGGAGGGTAACAATGGTTAATACATTGTGTATTGTTATTTGATGCCACTTTGGAAGAATGGCTTGTTCGAAGTTAGTCTGCTAGGCTGCCAAGAGTTATTTCTAGGGCTGAATGAAATAATCAACAGGTAAAGACTGAAAAAAGAGAGAAGCCATACATAGTCAGAAGGGAGAGGAAGAGAATGGTATTGCTCTTTGGCAAACATTTTAAATGAAATATGAAAAAATTTCTAGAACCAAGAATTTAAACTTAAAGACTTAGACATTTAAAATCGATTCCTCAGGGCTGGTGAGATGGCTCAGTGGTCTAAAGCACCTACTTAGAACAATCTTAAAGCACAGGGACCACAGTTCAATCCCCCAGCACCACATGCCAGCCAGCCCCGCCCCTTGGTGGGCGGAGCTGGCCACACACACACACACACACACAAATAAATAAAAAATCGATTCCTCAGATGAAACAAAAGTGCAGGGATGGGGAAGCAATCACTTAGTGACAGAATTGCAACTAGAATGCTGAGGTTTTGACTCTCAAATGGGTGTACTGTGTGGTTCACTTCAATAAACCATGGCCTCAAAGCCAGGTGTGGCACTCTGTAATCCTGGCACTCTAGGAGGCTGAGGCAGGAGGATTGCAAGTTCAAACTCAGAAGCTTAGTGACTTAGTGAGACCCTGACTCAAAAAGAAAGTTGAAAAGGGCTAGAGGTGTAGCACAGTGCAAAGGCTGGGTTCGACTCGCAGTGCCACTGTGCCTCAGATTTGAATGACACAGCACTCCTCTCCAGAAGCTCACAGTCTTGTGACTGACACAGTTATATGTGAGGGATGAGTGCTGTGGGGGCACAGAGGTGAGACTTGGCTCAGCCTGGGGATGAGGGGACAAAAAGGCTTAGGGTAAGTTTCCAGGTGTGTACACTGAGGTAATTTTTTTTTTGGCAGAACTGGGGATTGAATTCAGGTGCTCTTGCCAGGGAAGTGCTTATTCCACTGAGCCATCTCCCCGGCCCCACTGAGCTAAATTTTGATGGCTGGGTGAGATTTAGAAGACACAATTGGGGGATGACATTCCTAGCCTAGGGAGCAGCGTGAAGGTCAGAGCAGGAACTAGCATCACATGCATTTTGCCTTGTCACAACAGGAGGGGTTGCTGACATTAGTGGGTACAAGCCAGAGGCGATGCTTCTAAACTTCCTACAGTGGTCACTTGTCCCTCATTCCTTCCTGACAGTTTCCAGTAGTTCCTTTCTCCCACATGTGGAGACAGAGCACAGGGAGCAGCTTCCCATGAGGAGGCCCTACCACCTGTGCCTTGTGTGACCTCCAGTAGGTTGCACTGTTGATGTGGCCTCAGTTCTCCAAAGAGGGCAGTGAGTATCAGGGATAAGCTTATCAATTTATGCATGTGACATAGTGTGTTAGTGTACCACCTCATGAAGAGGAAGGGGGCCGTTGATTTTTTTTTATGAGAAGAATATATTTAATGAGGGAAAAAAAGGTCCTTTCCAAGGGAAGGACAGGAGGGGGGCGCCGAGTGGGTTGTCTGGGCTGTTGATTATAAGCACACCTGTACCAGTTCTCCAGCCCACCTAAGTCACCTGAAAGCACTTACACAAATGTGGTGTTGGCGGGATGCTTAGGCCTGGTCTCTGGTTTCTTGTTAGTGTGGACACAGCTAGGGAATCTCAGTGCTACAAAGATAATAGGCAGTAGGAATTTCAATGAAGAGATTGTTCTGAAGGTGTTTTTTGAAAGCAGAATTTTTTTTTTAAAAATGTGGTTTAAGTTGAGCATGGCAGGGTCTTTAATCCCAGCACTTGGGAGGCTTAGGCAGGAGGACTGCTGTAAATGCTAGGCTAGTCTGGGCTACATCGGGAGTTCAAAGCCAGCCTGAACTGCACATTGACACCTTCATAAAACAAAACACAAAACAAAACTAAAACAACACAACACATGGTGTAGTTTAATGCCATTTTGAGAACTGTATGCCTGGTTTTCCTTCTCAGCTCTTGCTCCTTGCTCTGTTGAAAGGAAAAGAGCAGTGTGGGTGAGCTTGAAGGCAGAGCAGGGTGGGTGGTCTTGAAGGCAGCCATCCTCCCCAGGAAGCTTTTAGATGAGGGGAAGGGGTGGCATTGAGGGTGAAACGGTGCTTGGCTTTTGAGACTCTAAATCCCTCACATACTTTGGAAAACTAGGAACTCAAAGTCATTCTACTGTCTTTTTTTTTTTTTTTTTTTTTTTGTAACAGGAATTAAACTACTTCTGTGAGAAAGAAGCCTCGTGGAATAATTATAGGGATTTGTCTGTACCAAATATGTAGAAGCAAATTGTAGATATCTAAAGAGATCTAGCAAAAAAAAAAATAATAAAGAGATCTAGCTTATTGATCTGGGAGTGCGTCTATGTGAGGCTACCCACATCCCCATATACCTTCCTGATCACTTGCAGGTTTGATGCTTACATACTCTGGAATATTTTTTTGAGGTGTGCTCTTCCTTTACTGAAGCTGGAGCAGACCTTTGTGGCAGACAGCACACTGGGCATGAGACTGTTCTTGTATCTTGACATTTTGATGCAGTGTTGGGGATGGAACCCAGAGGCTTGTATGTACTAGGGAAATGCTACACCCAGCCCCTTACATTTTGTTTTAAATTTTGAGACAAAGGCTCGTAAAGTTATGCAGGCTGGCCTCCAACTTCTTTCCTTTTCTTTTCTTTTCTTTTCTTTTTTTTTCTTTTCTTTCTTTCTTCTTTTTTTGCAGAAACGGGGATTGAACTCAGACCCTTGCGCTTGCCAGGCAAGCGCTTATTCTACTAAGCCATCTCCCCAGCCCCCAAGCCTCCAACTTCTGACCTTTCTGCCTCAGTCTCCTGAGTAGCTGGCATTAGAGGTCTGTGCCACCACACTGAGCTGTGAAGCATTTTTTTTTAATAAAAGGCCGAAGGAATTTTTTTTTTTTTTTTTTGCAGTACTGGGGATTGAATTCAGGACCTTGTGCTTGCCAGGCAAACACTTATTTTACTGAACTATCTCCCCAGCCCCTGAAGGAAATTCTTGTAAAGAATAAATCCTATGCTATGTTGGCATATTTATTTATTTAAATGTATTTGGTTGTGGCAGGGTCTTACTACGCGGCTCAGACTCTTCGTGATCCTCCTGCTTTCAGCCTCCCCAGTACTGTGATTACAGGTATGTGCCACCATGCCTGCCTGGACTCTGGCTGGTTCAGCCCACCCTGGGAGTGGGGCTGTTGTGGCATGTGGTGCCTGGGATCGAACCTCTGTCCTTGCACTTGCCAGCGCTGGCCTAAGCAGGTGCTTTAGTCCGCTGAGCTATCTCACCGGCCTGCACTAATTTTTTTTTATATGTGTGTGGTGGTGGAGATGAAAACCATGACTTGCGCATCCTGGCAGGCATTCTACCACTGAGGAATACCTTTAACCCTATATAACCTTTAATGGTTAAGGATTTCTTTGACATATTTGTGTACCCTCCGTGTCTTATGCTGTTGTCTGTAATATACCTTCCTCCACCCCAGAGGCTCTTCTGCAGTGAAGACCCAAATAGTTGCTTTCCAAATTTCACATAAATCTTCATTCAAGATTAGAGACATACTATCAGGTGTATACATGCCTGTACTTACAGCACTTGTGGATTATTTCAATTTTTTTGACATCAGTTATTTTTATTTTAAAATAAAAGAAATTAAAACAATGGTACAAAATCTCAAAACAAGATCTTAGGAGAGTAACAATGGTTAGTACATTGTGTATTGTTACTGCCAAAGTAGTTTCTCATATTACAAGATATAGGCAAGAAATAATAAGCAAATAACGTAGGTACAAACCTCTTATTTTTTTTAAAGTCAACAGAAAATGGAAATATACTTTTTAAAGTTTCTAATACTAGGA